ATGTTAATGTGTGTAAACATATAAATATTTATTCGGTTTTTATACTCATTTCAGTAATATCATTTAATTATATGTAAATGTTTGTGGAATTTATTTAAAATGATCTGCTTTTTGTTGATATGTATTATATTAGTGACTTGCTTTTTTAACAAACAGCTGAATAATATTGGATTTGCATTGTAAACCTTAAAAAAATCGTAAAAAACAAACAAACAAAAAAACTAAAAATGTTGTTATTTTTATTTAATGCTTTACATTTTTATTTATTGCACTCAAAAAATGACAAAATGGCAGAGATAATTACTAAGTGTTGGGTGTCATTCAATTCAGTTCAAGTTTATTTGTATATCACAATAATTAATTGAAAAATAGAGATATTTTACATTTAATTTAAGGCCAATTTAATGTAGTTGCTTGTCTTAAATGCTGTGAATATTTTCAGCACCATGAACAGATTTTTTTTTCTTAAATGATTAAAAAATAAGCAGCAGAGTAATTGTGCTTTTGGTATCCATTTACATTTAGCAGAATAATACCAACCGTATTTATTAAGACAACTGCATATATGCTTAAGAAATACTTTATTTATAACGCAAAGTGTTGATCTTAGGATAATATCAGTGCATGGATTAATTAAAATTTATATCGTCTGAAGGTTTGAAACTCTTTAATGTGTGTAAACAGCATGCTGGGATCTTACACTGAATAATAACAACACAAATGAAACTGTTCCCAATCTGAAATGGCATGTAGAGGTCAGAGATAATCACTAAGCAGCGGTGTTGATGTCATTTAATTTATTTCCCTTAAAAAAGTAGAGATATTACACATTTAATTAATTGTATTGTGTTCTAGTTGCTTGAATGTTTTCGACAGCAAGAACACATTTTTGAAAAATAATTAAATAAGGGAAGCAGAGTAATTGTGCTTATGTTATTCAAACACATTTCCCAGAATGATTCCAGTTTTATTAAGACGATTGCATAAACCGTTAAGAAAAGTATGTTATTTATTTTATTATTTTATTGCAAGGATTATTTAAAAATCTCCTTATATCTATGCTTTGTTTAAAGATTT